ATATATATTCAGGCTAAATATCTCTTATTTATTCAAAATGCTTGGGACTGGAAGTATTTCAGATATCAGATGTTTTTGGATTTTGGAACATTTGTGTTGTCCTTACCAGTTGATCATCTCTAATCCGAAAATCCAAAATCCAAAAATGCTCCAGTGAGAGTTTCCTTTGAGTACTGTCAGCATTCAAAAAATTTTAGAGCATTTTAGACTAGGGATACTAAACCTGTAAAAAATAATATATATATAAATACGCTCCATTAGTTTTTAATGAGGTGAAATGGTTGAAATTTAGGTGTGCATTCCTGTCCGCAAATGCTTATCAAATACACATCATGACACACTCATCTGATTTGTGTTACAGGGTATTAATTAGTATGCTGCTCCTATGCCTGATACTGACTTATGTCCTTGATTTGCCATGTTACCTCTCCACGTATTTGTAACAGGTGCTGTGTCCTTCTATAAATCTTTGAGATTCTGACTGGACTATAAGTATTTAAAGATACTCTTTAATTAAAAGTCTTTTTTAAAAAAAAACCCTAGGGTATAAATTCAATAAATTGAACTTCTCAGAAGGCCAGCTAAGTAAACATTTCATGTCAATACCAATCATTAAATCTACATTTTAAAAGGATATTTGATCAAGAGAGCTGGTCTATCATTTTTCTTTTTTTTTTTTTGAAAGAAAAAAAGGAGTGAAGGAGAGGAAAAAGGAAGAAAGAAAAAGGAGAGTGAAAGAGGAAGAAAAAGAGGGAGAGAGAACGGGAATGTAGCTTTATTCTAAAAATGGGTATTAATAATGGCCAATCAATATTTTGTGTATTTAAGGTGGAGAACGTATATTTTGTGTATTTAAAATGAAGAGCTCTATAAATATTTATTGAGTTTACTTGTTCCGGGTTTGAGTTCAAGTCCTGGATGTCCTTATTAATTTTCTGTCTCGTTGAGTCTAAATCTCTTTATGGGTCTTATGTATCTGGGTGGTAGGATCATTAGCTCTTATTGTTGCATTGATCCTTTTACCACTATATCTTTGTTGCTTTGAAATCTATTTTATCAGATGTGAGAATCGCAACTCCTGCTTTTTATTTATTTATTTACTTATTTTTGCTCTCCATTTGGTTGGTAAATCTTTCTCCATCCCTTTGTTTTGAGTCTTTGTGTATCTTAGGATGTGAAATGGGTCTGGATGTAGCATACCATTAGGTTTTGGCTATATCTTTTGATTGGGGGATTTAGTCGACTTAAATTTAGGGTTACTAAATTTTCTTTTGCAACTTTTTTTCTCCCTTTTGGCTACTTAAATTCGGATTGAAACCACGTTGTATAGCTTTTACATTTTGTTTTACCATTTGCTGGTAAATCTTTACTGTTTTCTATTCTTCTCTCTAGTTCCGTGTTTTATTTGGCTCAGACTCACTACTGCCCACTAAAACAAAGGAGGCAAGTAAATCTAAGTTTATCCCTGCTCATTCACTGTCCCCAGCTCTCCAGATTTGCAACTCAAGAATTGTCAGATACTGACTTCCCCTTTGCCTGCCTTCCCCATCATCAAATCTTCCTTCAGGTTCTTATCAATTTCTTTTTATGTGTATGAGTCTCATTCAATCCTTCTTGTGTGTTATTGCACAGATTCTCATGGCCTATTACATATTACTATAGCAGCTCCTTTATGGCCTCACAGATTCAAGTTACTCCCCAACTAGTCTACACTCCATTGCCAGAATGGGCTTCCACAAGTATTATTTTTACCATAGGAACCCCTGCAAAAAATTGGCAACAGAATCAAACGTGAATTCTTCAGCCTTTTTAAAAATAGTATATATTTTTATTTTTTACTGTTTACTTTTTAAAAATTTCTTTATTTTCTTAAAATTTTGTGGCTGCATAATAGGCATATATATTTATAGGGTACATGATATATTTTGATAAAGGCATTAATTCTTTTAGGAGGCTTTTTATGATTACATCTCACTGCTCACTCCTCCCATTCAATGTCTCCAAAGCATGTGCATTTCATTTGTATTTACAGTTTGTTGCTTTGTGTGTGTGTTTAGGCTGCTGTTTCCTATATTGATTCCCATCACCTCCAACCTGGATGTAAACATCCTGAGCGCAAAGGCCCAGCCCGATTTCCTCCTCCTTCTGCTGTAGTATCAGGCTCTTCAACCAAGAAGTGTTCAATGCATGTTAACTGACCCATGGGCATAATTTTCTAGTTATAGACATAGTTTAAATCATCTTTCCTTTTACAGTGGTCAGTCGGGATTTCCACAGAGGTCTGCTTGCATTCTACCATCTTTACTCAGACATGGAATAAAACAGGCAGAGAAGAGTGTATATATATATATATATATATATATATATATATATATATACACTATTGTCCAACCACTTAATTCTGTAGTTTTTACTGCAGTTCAGTTCAATACATATATTGAGCACCTGATGTGTACCCAGCAATATGCTAAGTGCTCCAGCCTGGTTATTCACAAACTCCTGCATGCATCAGAATCCCCTGCAGGGCTTATCAAAACCCAGGTTCACCAGCCCCCACCCTGAGTTTCTGACTTAGTAGGTACAGGTTGGGATCTAAAATTTTGCATTTCTAACAAGTTCCTAGGTGATGCTGACACTGCTGGTCCCAGAAGCACATTTTGAGAAGCAGTCTAGGAGATACAGAGGTGGTCTAAGACATAGTCTCTTCTTCCAATAAATTTACAGACTTTCTAGGGAGACAAGGAAGGCCCAGAAAACATTTAACAGTAATAAATATTCTACGGTGTTTTAGTATTTATTCAGCAAATAATGAATAAGAACTATGTGCCCAGCATTGCTGTAGATGCTGGAGTTACATCAGTAAACACAATAGACAAAATTCCCTGTTATCATGGGGGGATTCTCATAGGGGAAAGCAGACAATAAGCAAAATAAATAAAATATATGAAATATAAGAGAGTAATAAGTGCTAAGGAGAAAAAGCAAAGAGCAGGCATAAATATTAGTTAGGGGTTGAAATTTTAGATAGGGTGGTCAAAGAAGGCCTCCCAATTCCATCATTTGACAAGTATTTATTGAGTGACTACTGCATATCAGGCACTGTTATAGATAATGGTGCTATAGTAACACAGGTAATGAACCCTTTTCTTATGGAATGGGCATGCCTATTTGGGAGTCAGGAAACCTAGGATTTTGGTGTTAATTCTCACAAACTCATTATTAGACTGTGAATGGCTACATCACCTCTCAGCCATGGTTTCCCCATCTGTTAAATGGAGCAGTTGGAAAAAAATTATGCTTGAAGTCTTCCATACTTCTAAAACATCAGGATGCTAAGTCCTTTAGGCAATCAGAAATATGTAAGAGTGTTTGAAGAAGACTTTGTAGAGGATAGAAAACGTAAATGCTTTTATAGGGGAGCTATGGAGCATGGGAGATGGAAGGTAATTTCAGAAGAAGAATAACATGATATAAAGCACGCAAGCAAGAATGGGAGTCACGTAATGAAGAGCAAAGGAATCAAAGGATTCCCATTGTAGAGTAGCCAACATCATTGGGTAGGAGGTAGTTGTTCAATAAAGATGAGATGGGGGTGATTGTAGAGACTTTCGGTTGGGAACCCATTGAGGGTTTTGGTCAGGGAATGACACAATTATACAATCAAAGTGGTGTTTTACTATTTTACAAAAATTAACCTAGCAACTATTTAAATCTTTAAAATTAATTATTTTTTCATCAGATATTTGAATTATGAAGATTTAAAGCCATACTTTGTTATAAGTCACTGCCTAATTCTAATATTGCTATCAAACTAATTTTTAGGTCATTTTCAGTCCCTAAAAGCCTATGATACTATGTAATTTTCCCTAACACTACTATCACATGCTTGAAACTGTAATGTGTTACTTTTTTTGTGTGTGACGGGGCCTGGCTCTGTTGCCCAGGCTGGAGTGCAGTAGTGTCATCTTGGCTGACTGCAACCTCCACCTGCCAAGCTCAAACAGTCCTTCCACCTCAACCTCCCAAGTAACTGGGACTACAGGTGCATGCCACCATGCCTGGCTAATTTTTGTATTTTTTTTTGTAGAAACAGGGTCTCCCTGTGTTGCCCAGGGTGGTATCAAACTCCTGAGCTCAAGTGATCTGCCTGCTTCAGCCTCCCAAAGTGCTGGGATTAAAGGCATAAGCCACTGTACATGGCCTGTTACTCTTATGAAGGCTTGAGAAAGTAATGAGAATAAAAAATTCTTCATACTTATACTTTTATGTGTTCCTGATTATCTTATAAATATATATATTGAATAATAGGTTTATTTTCAGCCATATATATAATTTAAGTACTCATTTCGAGTGATGCAGACATCTCTAAGACAAGGCTTTTCCCATTCGCTTGCTTTGTCGTAGGTAACACAAGGGCAACATACTTTGAAATTATCCTCTTGTTTTTTTAATCAGCTGAGGTTTATCCACATCTCTTGTGTGTTTGTTGCTGTAGATGCTGAAAGTAGAATATTCTTATTATAAGCAGTTACTTTGGAAGATAATGACAAGGAGTCCTTTGTCCAAAGAGTGGGTCATGTAGACCTAGAGAAAAGTATATCATAAGAAATTATGACAGATCAAATTCTCAAAACTCATTGTTTAATAGTAATTTAAACAGAAGTTGAATGTGACCTGTAAAATACTTAACTGTCACGAAATAAAAGGAACAAAAGGGACAATGATGGCTAAATTAGGTAGAAAGTGTTTATTTTCCAAATTCTGCATAATGTTGCTAGGTCATCTATTCAAAAAGTAGCAACTTTCTTCAGAGTTGTTTTGAAAAATGAGGCACACCCACAGAAATCCTTTACAGCCAGTTTTTTAAAGGACAGCCACAAAAGCAAAAACACTTCAAAAACTTTGAGATCATAGTACCAAAAATGTTGCTGGGTCACAAGGGTGATAGCTTTCCCTTCTATAAATGTATAATTTTCTCTTTATTTCTTTTTAATAAACAGGGGATGGAGAACTGTCATGGGAACATTCTGATGCTGATATCTTCCGGCAGCCTGCCAACAGAGAAGCAGTAAGTGTGAACAGCTCAAATAATTCAACACTCCACAGCATCAGGCCAAGCTTTTCTCTTCCCATGGCTACTCTTCTAGCAAATCCAAAAAAGGCCTGATTTCTTACACCATTTTCCTTCCCTTTTCTCAGAGTTTTGAATATCATCAACAATTGGAAACCATTTAAGTACACTGTAAAACTGGTAACTGGAGGCAGGAAATGTGCAGAAAGAAACCATAGCCCCAACCCTTTGTCTAGGTCAGAAGTTGGTACTCTTTCAGGATGACTTGCCAAGTCTTTATGTGTTCTCTAAGGCAAGCAGGTCACTCCTCCTATCCTTCTGTGAAGCGAAGACCTTCTGTGGGGTTGTAAGACACAACCATCTTTTTGGTGGGATTAGGTAGACACTTTAGACTTGTCCACATAAACTCTCTCCCAAGCCTTAGGTGCTCAGTCATACAGTTGGAAGAGAGGAAAGATAGCAGTCTGGATTCTCCGTCCTTCACCCTGGTAATGTCTCACTTCTGTTCTCTGCACTAATCTCAGAATAAACCTCACAAGTAGGCATCTATGTAGGTTACACATCTTTCATTCTTTTGTACTTTGAAGTAATTTATGAAATAGAATTCCTCTCTAAAAAATAGATGTCTAAGAAGAATTACACTTCAAATTTCTTAAAATCTGAAAAGATGTTCTAATTCAAAGAATCTCTCATATTAAAGGAGCTAGAAAAGTGTACAGAATGTGCAGTGGTCACCACTGCACACAAATAGGTGTTCATCATATCCTTGTACAAAAAGTATGCAGGGACAGTCAGTGTATTGTTTTTTTCATAAAAGCAAAACAAATGCAGTCAACCTAAACGTCTACCGGGGACTTGGTGTATACATCCAATTAATGGGACACTATGAAGCTGTTAAAAAGAATACAGTACATCTAAATGTAGTAAAGTGAATCGAGCTCCAAGATGTGTTAAGTAACAAAACAAGGTGCAAAATGAAATTTTACACTATCACTTCTATATGTAAAAATTGTATGTACATGTATATAAATGCCTGTGAAACAATCTGGAAGGTCATGTACCAACATGTTAGGAGTGCTAATCTTAAAGGAGTAGAAGTGGGCAGGAGGAAAGGTAGACTTTGACTTTGTACTTTCTATTTTCTGTATTATTTGATGTTCTTCCATAAGCATCAATTAGTTTTGTAATAAAATATAAATGATTTTCTAAAACCTTAGAAAATCTCAGCAAGGACTGGATATAAGGCAGGAGTCCAAGGAATTACAGGGTAAGCCTGAGGATATTGAGCATGTGAGGAAGGTGTTGATAGCGGATGGGATAGAATGACTGATAGAAACATCCCAGTGCTGCTGAGGCTGGACTTCCCATTCATCACATTGGCCACTTCTGACTTGCATGCCCCCAGCTTGCCAGCACCCAACCCAAAGCCTCAGCAGTTAGATGAAACCATTTCTATTTGCCTTACTCTATATCAGTATTATTTTCTGGACCCTGCTGTTTTGGAATGGATGCAGAAGAATCGGGGGACAGAGGTTGGAGAACAATACGCTGGACATACCAAAAAATCAGCAGCCTCCAAGAGAGGGTGGGTTTCCCTGTTTGCTGGTTAATATAAACACTGAGGAAAGATTTTCTCCATCCAACTCTATCTGCTTTATAGTAAGTGAGATTCCTTCCAGCTCCTAACAGGAGATGCTATGAGTCTCAGTTTTCTGTGTTGTGTGTTCCTCTTTTCCTCAGCCCTGATTTTTCATTGTGGTAGGAAGTTGAGAGGGGCCGAATTAGTGGCTGTCAACCAGATGTCATTCTAAACCAAATTTAGGGTTCAGTCACCTTAAGCCATGCGGCTTATTCCCTGAGAGGCCCCACACTAAGCACTGTGGCCACCTCAGTCGTCTTGCTGGTAATGCCATGAATTAGCCTTTCTTCATTACTTCGTTTTACACTTCCCTCAACTCCAACCCTTATCTTTCAGCTTCATTGTGTTTCCTAAGCTGCTAGTGATAGGACTGGACTTAATCCAGTACTTCCTGTAGCAAAAAAGGTCAGGTAGAGAATGTGGGGCCTTGAAATAGTTACTGATTTTCAAAGGAGTTCAAGACCTATCTTTAGAAACAAATATTTGGGCCTGGTAGACCAAAATGGCCATATGGTTTCACTTTATTATAAATAAATATTTTCCTTTGTTCTAAAAGGGATATATATTGTGGGGTATGATTTGAATAATAAACAGCATCTGTAGTAATGGAAAAATGTATACCTGGCACATAGTAGGCACCCAATAAATAAGTGTTGAATGAATGGGTATGGGAGGTGGAGTGAAATGTGTGTGATGGTGAAGTGGGGAGGGGGCTCCTCATTAATTTTAATGCACTGGAATTTGTCTCAAAACAGAGAGAAATTCTTCAAATTTGTTGTTTGCTCTTGACCAGCCTAAAATGAGAAAATAGCAGAATCATTCTGAATATCACTTGCAGGCCCAACTTCCTTGGAGGAAGAAGAAAAGGTAGCCCTAACACCACAATTCCTATCCAGTAGACTGTTCTTTTCATAAACTGTTCCTGTTACTAGGAACCATCAAAACCTCAGTTCAACAGAAACACAGCTGATTAGTTTCTTTTGCCAAGTGGTCTGAAAACCATCAGCTTATCAAGTTTTATGAAGTGCACAGGAAGGGGAACCAGTGGTTCAAATATGATTCCTTTGTAAAAACCTGAAACAGTTTTTGTTTGATTTTGAAGTCGTAATTTCTCATGAATTGGTCCTCGTGCCATTGGTGGGGAGTGTGTCTGCATGTGCGCGTGTGTATGGTGTGGTATGACATGTGGAAAGGAAGAAGTAGGTACAGACTAGAAAGCCAAAACTTGAAAGCATGCATAATTTTGTTTTGGACAACAGCCAAGCCCTGATTTTTGCCCCAAGTAGATTACATTGAAATTTACCATTAAAAAGGGAAGTGAAAGGGTTTGGGACAGAAACAACATGAAACAGATAAAAATACATTCCATTCTCATTGTCAGAACAATGGTTTGGGAAGGAAATTAGCCTAAGTGTCTTTCAGCCAGGGATAGTCCTAGGTTGGTAATGACTGAGATACAATGTTTTAATGGCTCTATGGATGAGAATATGTTCTGAAGCCACTTTTCAAATTAGACTTTTTTATTTTGAGATAGCTATAGATTCACTTGCAGTTGTAGAAGATAATACAGAGAGATCCCATATTCCCTTTGCCCAGTTTCCCCACATGATAACATCTTGAAAATCTATAGTACAATATCACAAACATGAGGGCCCTTTCTGGGCCCTGATGTTTTCTTATCTACACCAATAAAACTCTTACTTCTTAGATTTTAGAACAAGAAATTCCTGGGGAGTCTCTACAATGGTGGGGATTTTTCAACACCAGAAAATAACTGTTTTAGAGCCACCTCTAAAACTTCAAATATTTTTCAGTCTTTCAAGTAAGTAAATAAAAAAATACCAAAATACTGAGGAAAATAAAAGATCATAGCTATATGGTCATTTCTAAGTGGTTTTGACCTGCTCTCTCAAGAAGCTTATTTGCAGCTAATTTTTAAGATAAGCTCCAATTTCAGGGTGTTAATAACTTTTTCTCTTTTACTCTGAGTTACAAGATCAGAATGGCCCCACATAAGTCTATATTTCATTTGTTTAGGGGAGGAATTTTTAAAGAACCACTGCCCTTAAATCAAAATCACACATCGCCACCACCCACTCCCGCCCCCAAACAGAGTATCCTCTATGTCAGTGATTCCCAACCTTGGCTTCAAACCAAGACTCTTTAAAATTCCTAATGCCCGGGCTTTCACTGAAACCAATTACATAAGGATACCTCAGAGTGGGACCCAGGTATGAGTATTTTTTACAGCTCGCCAAGTTATTTTCATGTATAGCCAAAGTTGAGTATGTGGTATACATGGTTGTGAGCACTGTAGCTGAATGAACTTCTGTATCTGAAAGGACTTCTCTTTGGAGCAGCTTGGAGTCAAATGTTTATAGACCACGGAGTTTGATTGGACATTCTCTCTTCTGCTTTCTCCTCCTTCTCCTTCTCTTCCTCCCTCTGTTCATCTTCCCCCTACTCCTACACTACTACTATCTCCAAAAACTCGACCTTCATTGTCACCTGAGTAAACTGCTTCTCCTCTCTGGCCTCAGTTTCTGTCTGTAAAACAAAAGACTTGAGCAAAATTAGGTTCTAGGGGACTGACTGGTCTACAATAGTGCCTGTGATGAAAATTCTTGAGGATTTTGGTTTTTTGTCACGATTATTTTCCTAGCATTATCATATGTCCAGGGTCTGAGACGTTGGTGCTGAAGAACAGCTTTTCATTTTGTGTTCACCATCATGAGTCAGAGAACTTCTTGTACTTGCATCCTATCTTGGGTCAACGACCTTCCCTTTCTAATTCTATCCCAGTCAAACTGCTACTTTTTAGGATCAGTGTGATACCAACCAGCCAAACTGTCCTCTCTGTGTTCCTTTGACAAAACTTTGCCAAACTTCAGAAGGGACAGAGCACCCATTAATGGCCTTTGTGGAATGTAAACAATTATGGCAGAAAAAGATGTACGAGTCACTGTGGAAATGAGGAATATTTGCACTGAGAATCCTATCCATGTGCATGAAAACAAATTGCTGCAAATTCTTATTTGTGTGCATTTTGATAGCACTGCACCATCATGGGCTTTTCTTAGATAGAGAGAAGAATGTTGTCTTTCAAAAGGCTAAAAAAGGTCTTCTTACTTCAGCTCCTGTTCACTCTCCCTTTCCCCTACCAGTGGCCCCCTCCTGCCAAGAGAGTAATAATACTCCCCAAAGCGAAATTTGCAACATGTGTGTCTGTGGCCCATAACTTGAATCAATGTATTATAGGATGATGTGGTCAGGGGACCCCATAACTATCTTCCCAAGATTCCTCATTATTTCTATCACTGAATATAAGGATTGCCTGTGAAAGATTTTTTTTTTAAACGGGTTCCCCCACCTTCACCCCTAACAATTGCCTATAAAATACAATTAATCTTATTTGGCTTTAAGCCTTAAGGTTCCATTCTTTATTCATTTCATCTCCTTCTACCCCCAGCTTACTTTAGCTCCTGGGAGAGGGATGGGTAGCATAGTAGTGAGCTCATCATGTGTATTGAACCCTTGCTGAAAGATTATTTGTATGACAAGACTCTAAGCTTTTCTTAGGTACCAGAGTTTTGTTCATTCAACAAATATTGAATGAGCACCTTCTAGATGCCAGGCACTAAATTTTAGGCACTGGAGATATAGCAGTGAACAAAAAGTCCTTGATTTTGTAGAGCTTATATGCCAGTACTGTCGTATACTACCAATTCTTCAATCTATAAAATATCTAGGGTATTTGTACTGTGCTGTATGATCTTATGCCATTACCTGTGTTTAGAGTCTGAGTACATCTTCTCAAGACTGTACTCGAATCTCATATTTTCCTATCCAGTTCACCCTACACATGATCAGGATTCAATGCTTTGAAACAGTTCTGATTACATTACTTCTCTAGCTTTAAAAAAAATCCCTATTCTGTGCCCTCACCTCTATTGCTTACCAAATAAAGTCTTCAACCCTTAGCCTGTCATTTAAAGTCCTCCATGATCTGGCTTCAACCCACTTTGGAATGTTATCCTGCAACTGTTCCCTTTTATGGACTCAATGTTCTCTGCTTCACCTTCTCAACTTGGAAACCTCTGCCTGGATCATTCCCCTTACACTCTGCCTGTAAAAAAATCTACCCGTCCTTTATGGCCCAGATCACAAACTCTCCCCAACTAGAAGTTCTCTCTTTCTCCTCCTGATTTACACAGGACTTCTTACTTCTTTAGCAGCCTCTATTCACATTCTGCCTTCTGTGCAGACTACCGTCTTAACTCTTAAAATCGAATATGAGAGTCTTGGCAGCAGGAAGGACACTTTAGCCTTGCTGACACTTTTCTCCCTGAGAAGTTTGTCTGTGAATCTAGTCCTATCTTTTAAAAGAGAGAAAAACCTCAGCATGTTGCCAACGCTGCTTTTATATTACCACATCCCTATTTCTATTGGTGTAGGTGAGCATGCAGCTGAAATCAGACCTCACCGCTATAAATCAAAATCATTGAATGACTTCTAATGTATATAACTTAATCTCTATGATCTCATTGGTGGCTTTTGGACTAAAATTGTTCTTGTCATTTTACAGAGACATTCTTACCACCGCTCTCACTATGAACCTCCACCAAGTCGACAGGCTGGAGGTCTGCCCCGCTTTCCTGGGGCCAGAAGTCACCGGGGAGCTCTTATGGATTCTCAGCAAGCATCAGGGACCATTGTGCAAATTGTCATCAATAACAAACATAAGCATGGACAAGGTAAGGGGCATTCTTCTCTTGTATACTTCCACAACAGGGCTTCAGCAGCCCTGGTCTTTGCAGGGCTGGAGCTGGGAAAGGACCCTTTCTCCCAGGAATAGCTTATATTGACATGTGGCTCACTTAGCATCAAGTCTATAAAGTGGGTATGGTCAGATGACTCCAGGAGACTCTTTAGACTTCCTTAAATGCAGCCAAAAGAACATAGTTCAGCCCCTTTAGTGCTTGTGAAAACAGACTCCCATATTTTCTGAATTGTCCCTGGGGATTGCAGGTCATTTGGGAAAATTCCTTGGGTCTTTAACCAAAACGAGTGATTGTTCCTGTTTTAGTAGGGGACCCCACATTCAAAGGTACTCAGTGCCAAACATCACTGAGGTTCTTATCCATACCTTAGAAATAGCGATTGTCACACCTCAATGTACCCCAGATTCTCCTGGCCTCTCATTAAAGATGCATATTCCTGCCCCTACACTCAGATTCTGGTTCAATGTATAGCATATGAGACTGCCATTAGAAATGAGTAATCCAGGTGCAGTGGCTCATGCCTCCCAGCACTTTGGGAGGTTGAGGTAGGAGGATTACTCAAGGCCAGGGGTTCAATACCAGCCTGGGCAACATAACAAGACTACAAAAAAATTAATTTTAAAAAATTAGCCAAGTATGGTAGTGTGTGCCTGTAGTTCTAGCTACTCGGGAGGCTAAGACAGGAGGATCACTTGAGCCCAGGAGTTCAAGGTTACAGTGAGCTGTGATTGTGCCACTACATTCCATCCTGGGTGACAAAGTGAGACCCTGTCTTTAAATTAAAAATTAAAGGAAAAAGAGTAACCCAGTGAGAAATCCCAAAACCTCCTGGCTGAGCACCAGGAAGACTGATCAGGTTAAGACTGACATGCAGTCCACATAGTCGATCAACTGACTACAGCAGGCACCCACAGACTTCCATAGCTTCCAGTTTCTCTTGCACAGCAGTTTCTGGCCTCCATCTTCCCTCCCACCACCACCTACCAGTAGCAGGAGTCAGGGGAGGAGAAACTCAATCAAACAATTGACTGCTTCTTACTTTTTTAGGCATCCTGTCAACCAGCTTGTTGGAGCAAGGGCTCAGCTGCTTCCTTTTTATGAAACCACAAACATGTTTTGTTTCCTTTAAAGAGAAAACAAATCAAAAGCAGTTCTCTGAATGGGTTAAAAGAAATTATTAAACCAATGATTGAATGACATGGGTAAAAAACTATCTGTTACAAATAACTCCTACCATAAATTTCAACAAAGCTACTAAAGCCATAGCTAGTTGATCACATCTGTTACTAGTTAGATGTAAATTTCCGATTACAGATAAAAAATTGAGTTGCTTTTGAAATTTGCAGGCTTGAAAGAATATTCAAAATAAAACTGTTAATGGAAAATGGTGATGTATCAGAATAATTTGAAATACTTACTATCGATCTGTGTTTGATTTGAAGTTTATTATTTTTAAGTTCCAAGGATTTCTGATAAAAGTGTATGAAATAAGGAGGAAGAGTTAGGTTAAGATTGTTTGATTTTTCAATTCTAAATTTCCTCCAGTAGATTGCATTTGCTCTGAAAGTATTTCAAAGCCTTTTAAAAGTGTAGAGAAATGGATTTTGAAAATCCTAAATCCCATTATTTCTACAAAGTCTCTTTAACTTCAGGGCAGAGAGGCTTATCCCTTGATTTTCTACATGTCTTACAAAAACCCTAGCTGGTTTACATTTGTTCATTTGCCTCTACTGATTTGGATGCAACAGTTCTACTCTGACTTTTCTAATATAGTTTACCAAGGAATCACTTGTCCCCACTGCCAACTCCCAAGCTGGATGATTCAAAATCATCTCGAGAATTTTTTGGGTAAGGAGAGGGCTATGCTTCCCTGTCGAGAATTAACCTCACCCTATTCCATTGCAGAGCTTAGGCTCTCATCCAGTCTAGACTATTCCCTTAGTCCAAATGTTCAGGGGAGAGGGAACCTAGCTATATAACACTGGGAGTCCTGCCTCCCCTGCTCAGCATGGGTCATCCTTAGCTCTCTTGCTGATAATGTGATCATCTGATATACCTACTGGGCTTCTTGTTAGTATCAAATAAGAGAAGTAATAGGAATCCACGATTTTGAACTTGAATCCAGCCTAAATTTTCTTGCAACAGACTATGTATCCACTTGATCACATTATCTAGAAGAGAACATCACTGTTTGGAGAGGAAATAAAAAAGAAGCAAGGGCAGAAGAAAGAACAGCACATCTGGCCTGTCTTGTGTGATACTGTCCACAGGGCTGAGCCTCACAGTTGAGGTGTCAGTTCTCCAATCTGTCTCATTGTAAGATTGCAAGCCTCTCCAGTTTAGGTTCTTGGAAATCATTACATGGGTTGACCGGTTAGAGTACCTACTATTCTAGCAGCACTTGCAGAGAACAGGAAAAGACAGCCAACATCATCCTTACTTCCTAATGCGACCCAGTGGACCTGATGAGAAATAAATAACCCAGTGATTCATCCTTCTGAGGCCATTGTCTTGCAGCCAAATCAGCCAATTCCTAGAAATGCCTCAAGTGGGACTATTTCTGCCCCAGAGCCCAGCCTGAAATGATAGAACCAACCCTAGAGATGTTGATTGGGATGCCAACAAGTCTTCCTGGGTATGATGAGGTGATGGGAATAACAATAAACACACCCAGTCCTATCATGACTTGAAATCTCCACAATGCCTCAGCACTCTGTAAAAGGAAGATAACTCATCCTCAGACTTCCCCATTTTGCAGCCCTGTGCGGTTCTTATCTTGGAGCCTAGCTCCATGCCTTATAGTAGGAGCCAGGTATATTTGGGGCTGATTTACATAGAAAGATGCTCCTATGGCCCCTTTCTTTCATAGGCCCCCTCAGCCTGCATCCCAGATACTTGCTCCTTTTTTAGGGCATAGGGGAAGGGGACAGGGTCTTACTCTGTCACCCAGGCTGAAGTGCAATGGTGCCATCACTGCTCACTGCAGCCTCGATTTCCTGGTCCCAAGTGATCCTCCCACTGCAGCCTCCCAAGTAGCTGGGACTACAGGTGTGCACTACCACACCTGGTTACTATTTTATTATTAGTTTTGTAGAGACTGGGATCTCCCTTTATTTGCCAGGCTGGTCTTGAACTCTGGGGCTCAAGGGATCCTACTACCTCAGCCTCCCAAAATGTTGGGATTACAGGCATCAGCCACTACACTCAGCCAGATGCTTGCTCTTTTAAGGCCCTTCAGAAGACATGGGACCAATGACTTAGCTTCCCCCTTAACAAATGTCAAACTGCCAAAGGATATCTGTGAAGCAAGCAGTGATCAGCTGTAGCCAGATCTCTATAGCCACTATCAGGTGGGAGACTGAGGAAATTGCCGGAAGATTAGAGGCATAAAAGGCTATTCCTTCACAAGTTACCCAGGAGGTCTTGGTGTTTTGCCTCTCAGTCTTGACTATCACCTTCCTTCCCACACCAAAGAGTGCCCAACACCATTAAGCTCCATACCTATACATGTTGGCAGATCAGACAGACTCATAGCATTTGACATTCTGAATGGATTTTCTTCAGGGTCTGGAAGAAACTGTCCCTTTGGGAAGAGCAGTAACTTTTGCATCTAGCCTCCAAGGAAAGCAAGTCTCCCAAGGACATTTTCATGCCTGGAAGTACATCCACTTGGGCCACACAAATTTCGACAGAACTGAAAATATTAACATTACATTCTACTAGAGATAGAACTCTGCCTTCATGCATTAACTTATTCTCACACTTAAAAATATATATATGCATTCATTTATTCTCGCACTTTATATATATATATGTGTGTATATGTATATATGTATATGTGTATGTGTATGTGTGTATATATATATATAGGCTGGGTGTGGTGACTCATGCCTGTAATCTCAGCACTTTAGGAGGCTGAGGCAAGTGGACCTCTTGAGTCCCAGAGTTTGAGACCAGCCTGAGCAACATAGGAAGATCCCATCTCTACAAAAATATATATTTTTTAAAGTAGCAGGGCATGGTAGTGCACAGTAGTCCCAGTGACTCAGGTGGCTGAGGTGGGAGGATTGCCTGAGCCCGGGAAGTCAAGGCTACAGTGAGCCATGATCATACCACTGCACTGCAGGCTGGGCGACAGAGCAAGATCCTGTCTCAAAAATATGTATATATTTATAGACTGCCTACTATGCGTGAGGCCATTTATAAGCATCCAGAAGCTGCTGATGAAGAATCTGGAGAAGCTACTGAAAATGGAATATGGCCCAAGCTGTTTTTTGGTCACAGATACTACTCGGTCAACATAGCCCCATGAACAAAAGATGTGTGATGTGTTAAGTAGTTCGGGGCTTGGGTTGCAAATATAGGGTTACATTTTTAGCTCCTTAGCTTTTAATTGCTAATTCTGTGTTCTCTTCCAGTGTGTGTTTCCAATGGAAAGACCTATTCTCATGGCGAGTCCTGGCACCCAAACCTCCGGGCATTTGGCATTGTGGAGTGTGTGCTATGTACTTGTAATGTCACCAAGCAAGAGTGTAAGAAAATCCACTGCCCCAACCGATACCCCTGCAAGTATCCTCAAAAAATAGATGGAAAGTGCTGCAAGGTGTGTCCAGGTAAAAAGGCAAAAGGTGCGTTGGTTGGAGGCCCTGCCTTTGATTGACTGACATCCCCACATGGCCTTTCTAAACTCTTTGGGCACCAGAAGCATAACCTTTCATATAATTACAATAGTAATATTTCTAATAATTAATTTCATTTTCTCCTTTCTTCAAATACTGAAAACACAGTTCTTGGAAGAAATTTACTACCCAAAAATATGCTGGGGATTTGCTTGTATCTACCACACATCTCCTGTATTGCTGAGTGCTGAACTTATCTGTGCTTTTCTAAATAGTAGCTAATTTAGGCTATCATGATGATTAGGAAGAACAGCAGCAGCTTTCATCTAGATCACTGTTAAACCCGTCGAAGTAAAATCACATCCATTGCCCTTTTGAGACAGGACGAGAGGCAGGTGAGTTATAGTGGAAGGAGACCAGGTTCTGATCCAAGCCTAAGGTGTTGAGTGACCTTGGAAGTGTGCACTCTGGGCCTCATAATCCTTATCTGTACAATTGAAAGTTTAGAAATATTATCTGTAAGCTCCCTTCTAACACTAAAATCCTATAATTATATTATTATTTGTCTTTTAAAGATAAGAAATCTGAAGTATATAGTCACATGACTTGCCCAGATTTATTCAACTAATCGATCATAAAACCAAGATCTATAACTCAAGTCACTTCCAGACCATTGTTTTTTCTCTGCCAGTAGAAAATATTGACTGAAGAAAAAGACAATTTAATTATTTAAATGGTAGTTTTTAAAACATGAGCTAAACAAAAATATAATCCATAATATTGGGGTTGACAGATAGGATGGGTAATCAATCATTCTACCTCTGGCTTGCCACTGGTTTCCTGTGTGACCTAGAACAAGTCATTTCACCTCTTTGAGCTTCAGTTTCCTTCTTTGCAAAATGAGAAGGTTAGAGTATATTATTTTGGGGGGCCCTTACAGCTCCAGCATTCTAAGAGTCAATGATTTAGTAAATCCCAAGGACATGGATTTATCATTTCTTATGCTTTTTGCAAAGCATTTTGATAAACACAGATGAAAATTCAAACATTTTCTAAAAGTAGGTAGAGAGCTAAATTAAATACTTCTCCAATTTAGTTCCTCATGACTCATAGAAAACATGCCCTGAATCAATGTATATGTATTGAGCATTTTCCTGCAGGCCAGTGGTACTCAAACTTGTCTGAACATTGAAAGCCCTTGGAGAATTTCTACATATATCTGTGTCCCATCCCCAGAGACTATAATTTAATTGATTTGAGGTGTGGCCTGGGCTGTGGCATTTTTTTTTTTCCGAGATGGAGTCTTGCTCTGTCGCTCAGGCTGAGTGCAGTGGCATGATCTTGGTTCACCGCTACCTCTGCCTCCCAAGTTCAAGTAATTTTCCTACCTCAGCCTCCCAAGTAACTGGGATTACAGGCACTCACTGGCTGTGGCATTTTTTAAAGATCCCCAGGTGAACATTATGTGCAGAAAAGTTTGAGAAGTCCTGCTATAGGCCCAAGGTGGTTTATGGTCTTGCTACTCAACATGCAGTTTGTGGACTGGCAACAACTAGGAGCTGGTTAAAAATGTTGACTCTCAGGCCCCCACTCAAGACCTACTGCATCATAATCCGTATTTTAACAAGAACCCCAGGTGATTCTAATGCAGATTACAGGTTGTAAAGCACTGATTTATGATACAAAATTTTCCTCAATGTGATAACCCCCATCTTCAGAGTACACAGGGGGCAGGGTATGGACAGAAAGGACAGGAGATATCTGATATGGTGTAGAAAACTGGGACATTGAAATTTATGAGAAAATGTATTTATTACGAGTACAGAGAGAATACTTTTTTTGAGACAGTCTGGCTCTGTCACTCAGACTGAAGTGCAGTGGTGCCATCTCGGCTCACGGCAACCTTACAACCTCTGCCTCCTGGTTCAAGTGATTCTCCTGCCTCAGCCTCCTGAGTATCTGGGACTACAAGCATGCACCACCACACCTGGCTATTCCAACTCCTGAGCTCAAGTGATCCACTCGCCTTGGCCTCCCAAAGTACTGGGATTACAAACCTGAACCACTGCACCTGGCCAATGGAATCAGCACATTCTAAGGATGATATGGACATCGGGGCTACCTAGCCATGATGACCTATTGTGACTTCCAAGTCTGTAGTCTCACTGGATCCACAAACCCTTTAGTGTCACATAGTGGTAGTTTCATGAACACAATTTTCTCTTCTGTCAGGAGTCTCACACCTATAGTTTAAAAAGTAATGCAACAAGATGATTTCAGACAAAAACTAATATTTACATAAATTACCCATGATAACATGAGCCTTCTCATTGTATAATATTACAATTTGAATCTCAGGCTTTCAAACCAAATCTTATTTCATTGTATGCTTAAAATTTTATTGATGCAGGTGATTCAATTAAAAAGTGAAATAATCAAAAAGTTGTGAGAACAGGACAAACGACAGTCATTGCTTTTAAAACAATTGTCCTCTCAGGTTGGTAATGTTTATTAAAACATTTGGTGGCTGGATGCAGTGACTCCCACCTGTAATCCCAGCATTTTGGGAGGCCATGGCAGGAAGATCTCTTGAGCCCAGTAGTTTGAGGTAGCCTGGGCAACATGGTGAGTCCTCCATCTCTACAAAAATTAAAAGAAAATAGCCAGGCATGGTGGCACATGCCTGTAGTCCCAGCTACTTGGGAGACTGAGGGCTTGGGTGAAGGATCACTTGCCTAGGAGATCATAGCTGCAGCAAGCCATGATCACACCATTACTCCCCAGCCTGGGCAACAGAGAATGACCCTATCTCAAAAGAAAAAAAATGGGCAAATGATTCTACTTCTAGAAATCCTAAGAAAGTAATCAGAGACATACACAAATATATACAAATAAGAATTTTTGCTGCAATGCTGTTTACAATACTGAAAAGTTGGCAACAATCTGAAAGTTCACCAATATGGGAATGATTAAACAAATTATGGTATATCTATACTGTGGAATATTAATATGGCAATTAAAACTCATTATAAACCAAGATTGAATGGCAGAGAAAGATGTTTGCAATGCATTTGTTAAGTAAAAATAGCAAGCTAAAAAACAATATGAATATTATGATCCCACTTTTTGTGTTAAAAAAGAAAGTGTTGACCAGCTACGGTGGCCAACACTTGTAATCTCAGCACTTTGGGAGGCCAAGGCGGACAGATTGCTTGAGTGCAGGAGTTCAAGATCAGCCTGGACAACATGGCAAAACCACTTCTCTACCAAAAATACAAAAATTAGCCAGGGGCTGTAGCATGTGCCCATGGTCCCAGCTACTCCTATTTGGGAGGCTGAAGTGGAAGGATGGGTTGAGCCCAGGAGGTGGCGGTTGCAGTGAGCCAAGATTGTGCCATTGCACTCCAATGTGAGCAACAGCCAGAAGCAAGGGAAGGGAAGGGGAGGGGATGGGAGAGGAGGAAAGGGAAAGGGGTTTATGTATGCTAAGACAAAAGAAAAGACTGGAGGAGCATACAGCAAAATGTTAACAATGACCATCTTTGGGTGACTGAATTACAAGTCACCCTTATTTTCTTTTTTATTTATTTGTATTTTCCAAATTTTAAATAGTAAATACATATTACTTTTGTATTTAGAAAACATAATATATTTTATCATGTAAAAACTGCCCTCCAGCATCCCAGTTGACAGTATATTCTTTGCCCACTTTCCCACTCTGCTCAAATATATGGAGACAGATGATTGATTGAGCAACATGAAAGAAGATAATTTCTGTCCCGTTCTGTGTACCTGCCTCTCCGTTAGCGAGACATGGGTGTCTGCATGTTGAATCGCTCCTTAGTCACATTGCCTGAGAGTCAATATCCACATAGCCACGGGCACCTACTCCAGGTACTCTGTAACCGCAGAGCATCAGGAGGCACGCACTTGCTCATGCATTCAATCTGGAAATATGTTTTAAGTACCTACTGTGTGCAAGACACAATTACACACACTGAAGACAGAGATGTGAACAAGACAAAAGCTACTTGCCAGCATGGTCCTTACATTCTAGCAGAAAAGACAGACAGTGATCCCAAATCAGTAAGGTAATTTTAGATTGTGATGAGTGCTGTGAAGAAAAACCAAAGATGATCAAGAGATAGTGAATGGGGAAGGAAGCACTTTTAAAGTAGTGGTCAGGGAAGGCTTCTCCTAAGAGGTGATATTTGAATAGAGTCCTGAATGATGTGAAGGGGTGAGAAATGGGATTATCATGACAACACTGGCCTCTTAAAAAAATGACACATGGCACAGAAGAAAAGGAACCAAGGGAGTGAAGAGAGAAGTAGATGGAAGGAAGAAAGAACAGTAAATTCAGTTATGTTGAAAAGGGAAAAGAGATAAATACAATTCACTGATAATCCAGCCAAATGTTTCATTGTAACAAATGTTTACAGGCTCCTACAATAACAAACTAGGACCAAAATTAAGGATGGGAGTTTCATCTCTCTCTTCCCTTTGCTCCTACAATACAAACTAGGACCAAAATGAAGGATGTGAATTTCAACTCTCTCTTCCCTTTGACCTTGCCTTGCATATTGGTGGCCAACCACAGGGTTGGGTAAGATGTCCACTTCCCAAAGGTTCCCCAACTCACTTCTCACACTGTCATGACAAACCCTTATTAACCTCAGTAGGGAAGGAACCAGGTTTAAGAGGCTGAAGACAAGACCCAGAGGCAGCAAACAAGACTTGGAGTTTTATTAGGGGCTTCCATACAGGGGAGAGAGAGAGTCCAGGGGAGGTGGACTAGACAAGAGGGCCACCTTACATATAGAAACAGTCCAGTGGCAGCAGGTTGGGCAAGAAAACTGCAACTGTTTGCAGACAGCATGCCATTTATATAGCATTTTCACTGAACACTCTCCCCTTAACTACCTTTCCCAGGCAACCTTCATCTAAGTGAAAACTTAAGGTCTCAATCCCCTGTGCAGCTCCAGGGATGGGCCTGGGATTCAGATGGTCCTTATAAACTAGAAAGAATCTCCCAATTGGCCACGCCCAGATTCCCAAGGTCTGAACACACATTCAGATGTGTCTGCCATACAAGGTCATTCTAAGGGTATGCTTAAGTTATTGCGGTCATGAGCATTTACCATACACACAACCACAATACCATTCCAATACCTGGAATTTCCATAATTAAATACTCCTTTTAGGTTATGGCATTAAAAGTTCCTATTAAGACTTAAAAGTTTTCTCAGCTGGGATAATACATCTCCTTCATTACCACTTCTGCAAGGAATTCTGGAAGGCTCAGGATGGGAACACTCTCGTGGGATATAGAAATGGCCAGAAATGCCTTAAAGCACATTGTCTTTCCCAAAAGAAAATGAGAGTAGGTGAACATGTAGTGATCAGAAAGCACCTTGCAGTGCAGAGTATAAAAAACGGTGGATGCTGTTGAGTAGGTAGTTCTAAAGACAAACTCTGCTTTTCTTAGCATTTTCAAGTACCAGCCAGGGTTAAGTCAATAATGAGTTTTGTTGTTTGTAGATCCCTTTGGTCCAGTAAATTAAGCTCTTGGAGGGAAGGAGGTAGTGGTGCAAGATGACTCTTCAGGCCAGTAGGAGAACTTTTAGCACATTACAGGTACTGCCAGTGCCATCATGGATTTCATGTTAGTTATAGCTGTAGCCAATATTAGCTGGTGAGCAAAGTTTGAGAAATCAGCTGTCATTCTCAAGATGATAATTGAATACATCGAAAACTCTGTACACTCAGTGACCTCCTCCCTCTCTCCAACCCATTTAAAAAGTGCTAGCACACAGCCCTTATTACCCAACATATCACCAAAAAGACTCCCACCAAGTAAATAAATAGCTAAATAGAAGGACAAAAGGAGGAAAACAAAAAGCCTGATTCTATGATAATCCACAAATTGAGTAATCCAATCTGGAATCATCAAGATAAGGCTATGGTTTTGTCTTTACAATGCCAAATGGTGGTAGGGGTGGGAAAGGTAATCAGGTTAGCAAGAGACATACAATAGCAGTTTGATTACAACTTCTAGTCCAAATGTGTCTGATTGGCTAACAGTGAGTCTCCCTAATTAGAGTCACAGATCCAAAGCACTCAACACTCAGTGGTTTCATCCTCAACAATTCAGATATTCTTACAGATGGCTTCTGTTGTTCTGATTTGAGTGTATGCTTTAAGCACAAAGCTCCAGAGTAGTGATTACAAGGCCAGCAAGGAAACTTAACTTACTGATAACCAACCATAAGAAACTTTTTAAAACAGGGGGCTGAGGAAAGAGGAGGGTGGAGTGAAATGGAGAATATTAGGGGTTGGTACCTTTATGCCTGCAAGCTGAAATTCAACAGTTTAGTTTACACATTAAATGATCCATAGTTCAGGGATTTGACCAATTTTTTGTGTCTCCCAACCATTCATTTGGCATAGCATACATATGACTAATCTGACATCTAGATTTTGGCACTGGTGCTGATCCGGTATTATTGTTCCCCTTACAAACAAATCAAAGAGCATTCAGAAATGTCAAGCCAATTTGGATAGACCCTTTGGGCAAGTATATGCACATAAATGAGTGTCATGAATATTTTCTAAGTATACCAAAGTGATGTCAGGGATGTTAACCAAGGCCCTTTGTCAGCCCATTCCTTGGGCCTCTCTTGGCAACACCGAGCTGGTCAGAGCATGATCCTGACCCTGTACAGAAAATCCTGTGTTCCCTTAAGTGCCTAAGGGATTTGTACCTGGCTACATTTTTCCTCATGAAAGTCCACTTCTCAGTGACAGTAGTAGGGGGCCAGTATTCTGAAGAACTATGGATTCTGTCAACACATGGATTTCAATCAAAAGTTACATGCTCCTTTATGATTTGTGGCTTAATCTGTGGCTTGTTGCAGGGGCAGCCTAAACTGAGCTAATGAAGTGTGGGTGGAATTTCTGTCTCTCAAAGAATGTCCTTGTTAATTGTACACTTTTGATAAGTGTTAGATGTTATCAAGAATGAGATACATAAATGCAGAAGTTCACTTCTAACTTTAGAAAACCATGACAAAATTCTACTTGCTTCCTAATTCCAGAAGAACTTCCAGGCCAAAGCTTTGACAACAAAGGCTACTTCTGTGGGGAAGAAACGATGCCTGTGTATGAGTCTGTATTTATGGAGGATGGGGAGACAACCAGAAAAATAGCACTGGAGACTGAGAGACCGCCTCAGGTAGAGGTCCACGTTTGGACCATTCGAAAGGGTGAGCAAGACTACATGCACTCTGATCTTTGTAAGGAGGCACAGAAAAGGAAAAGAGGACTCATCTTAATTTTGCTTCAACCTGTTCTCTTGTTTGGATTAGAAGTTTTTTTGATTGCTTAGAAACTGACATGTCTAACACCATGGTCATTATGGTCTTTCAAATTTAACAATGGCTTGTGCTAAAGATCAAGTATTGACCCTTGGGTTCCAAAGTTGTCCTTTTGACACTACCAAAAGCTGGAAAAGTGGTTCTCAACCCTGGCTGCACATCAGAATCATCAGGGAGAGTTTTGGTTTCCTTTAAACACCAAATATCTGGGCCCTAACCCCAGAGATTCTGGTTTGTTGTTCTGGAGTGGGGCATGGGCATCAGTGTTTGTTCATGCTTCTCAGGTGATTATAATGTGTAGCCAGGATTACAAACTACCAAACTGTAGTCTATCATTCTTTCTAGTATAAAGCTCAACAACCATGAAAACCCATTCATTCAGGGCAAAGCTAAGTCCCTAATATGGTGATGTTTATTCTGGGGTAAAACAAATGTAGGCTGGGCACAGTGGCTCATGCCTGTAATCCCAGCACTTTGGAAGGCCAAGGCGGGCAGATCACCTGAGGTCGGGAGTTTGAGACCAGCCTGATCCACATGGAGAAACCCTGTCTCTATTAAAAATACAAAAAATTAGCCAGGTGTGGTGGTGCATGCTTATAATCCCAGCTGCTTGGGAGGCCGAGGCAGGAGAATCACTTGAACACAGGAGACGGAGGTTGCGATGAGCTGAGATGGCACCATTGCACTCCAGCCTGGGCAACAAGAGCGAAACTCCGTATCAAAAAAACAAAAAAAATTTAAAATATCATGCCTGCCTTCAAGAGATTATAGTCTGTCTGGAGAAACCCCAGTTACAATGTGCAATTCTTTCTCCAATTATTGACAGTGACTACCATGGCAAGCCACATTGTATTCATTGTGATCGTACAGCTCTTCTATTTTGTAGGCTCAAGACTAGTACTGATTTAGTGTGGTCAAGGTTCCTTGCAATTTAAGAGGAGAAGTGAGATTTTGGCTGGAAAATAATACATATCTTTTTGCTAGTGGCTCTCACATAAGGCTCAAGAGTACTCAGACTTCTGTATGCCACAGCATTGCACAGGAAGCTGGTTTTAAATGCAGCTACCTTGCCCCATTCCAGAGATAAGAATTCAGTAGACCTTGGGTAGGGTCCAAACATTTGCATGTTTAACCAATAGCCAGGTGATTCTAATGCAGGTGGCACTTGGACAATGCTTTGAAAAAGACTGCTCAGTATCTATGAGGCTTTTATATTCCCCTTTAGACAACAGCTCCAATCAAAAGAATTCATTTCTCCCTACCACTTAAAAAAAGATGATTGAACACGTATATGTTTCTCACTCACGCTATTTTTTGCTTTATGCCTAGGCGTTTTGATTTGCCATCTTTAACTCCCTAGCTCATCCATAACAGGCCACCTAGGACTAGGCACTGGTTTGTTGCATTTCCCCAGCAGTAGACCCACTATTCATCATCCCACATCTTTTGCCTCTCAGAGGTATGCAGATAAATTTCAGCTTGCTAATGTAGCATCTAAATATCCTCTTGTTCACAGGGCTGGGTTATCAAGGTCTGTGCTTGGTGGATACAGAAAAAGAGTCTCCATCTACTTTGCCCATTTAAGTGGGCTGGTAACATGTTGGTCCTTAACTACAAGGCAGTTGTGAGCTGTCTACCTGTTATTGTGATAAAAGCTATTCAGGCAAGGTTGAGATAGTTGGGGACACTCTAGTTTAACTCCCCATTTATGAATAAGGAAGGCTAAAGGATCTGTGAATATTTTTTTTCCAAAGGAAAATATGCTTTTCCATGAGTTCAAGAACGGCGGGGGTGGCTTCTCCATTTACAAAACCAATCTGCCTGCAATCCTACTGCTGGCTGTCAGTGCTTAGCCAGGAGGACAGCCCAGCAGTTTGGCACGAACACAGCCTACCCAGGTTGGAGGCAAAGGCAGAATTCTTAATACTACCTTTGGCTGCAGAAGCTGAAATAAGCACCTATGCTTGATTCCATGTGGCTTTCCCTAGGAGAGGGTCCCATGGTCAGCAGCACTATCTTCCTTATTTCCATCCATTGGAGAAGCCGAGGGGAAGCCAGGAAGCCAAGGCAACAAATGGAGTCAATTATAACCCTTGAGCCATCCAAATTCCTGGTTAAGCACATTACACAGCCCAGCTTGATACTCCTAAGCCCTAGTAATGAAATAATATGCTGAGCCTGAGCAGAAAACAAGGAGTTGATGGTTCCAGATAAAGTGCCTGACCACCTTCCTCACTTTTTGCTTGACCCTAGGCATTCTCCAGCACTTCCATATTGAGAAGATCTCCAAAAGGATGTTTGAGGAGCTTCATCACTTCAAGCTGGTGACCAGAACAACCCTGAGTAAGTAGTACTTCTCTTAAATGCTCCTGGAAAACACATCCAGTTTTCAATTTAGCATAGCCACAGCTAAAGTCCCTCTGCAATCTCAGTGAACATTAGCACTGCTTAGCGTCAACACTAAAGGATGTTCCTTCTCTCTTCTGGGTGGCTTAGAAGTGAATGGGGTGTCTGAACGTAATCTGGAAAGCTTGGACATGGTGAATACAAACCCAAATGTAGTCTGAACATAGGATACCTCATGTCAAGGCTTCCTGAATGTCTTTAATGAAACTGCTAAGCACAGAGTCTCAAGAGGGTTGGAGAAAGCTTGTAAGATTCCAGGTCTAGTATATTTGTGGAGACTTCATATCTGGAAGGATGTGTCTTTTGGTGGTGGGTATGAGAGGCAGAGAGAAATTGAAGGCATATCAATTCCTGTGTTGTATGAAAGCTCATTTACTCCTTGGGAACAGCCCCTGGGTGGCCATTCAGGCACTCAAAAATACTTGCAGCTCTCTCAATTTCCACACTGGATGGAGCCTAGGGACTAAGATACTGCTAGGCACCGGGGTGGTGCGGAGGGGCGGGGGGAAGCACGTCTAATGAGATAAAAGGCACAGTTTCTATCCACAGGAAATTCTAATGGATGAGACAGAACATGAAAATGCCTTTAGTATGAATTAGTATAGTTCTGAGGAATGAAATACCAAAGGGCTCAGGGGAATCTGCAAAAAACAATGAGATGAGAGCCAGGTGGGCTTAGTTGGGGAAGGCTTCGGGGAGGAGGTGTGTTTTGAAAGAGAAGGGTGTGACTGGGCAGTGGGTCAGGAAATCAGTCCAGGAAAACGGTACACCCTAAGAGAAGACTCAGACAGGAACAAACCAGAAATGTGGGTGGGAGTGAGGAATGATTACAGAGGCCACAGAAGGTGCACTAAAAGAAGATTTGGAGGTAGGAAGTAATCACAGGTCCTGAAAGAAGCCAGTAAAATGTTCAGATGTAAGGCAAGTAGCATCAGTAGCTGATGCTAACTTACAAATAGCATAGAGGTATCAAATGGTGCTTTGGAAAAATGTGTTTCAGCTATCAGATGGACCTATTACATTAAGCACATGCTTTAATGAAGCCAGATTATGAAGAGCCCAATTTATCATGTTAGGACATTGGACTTGATCTCTAGGCCAGAGAACGCCAGTGAAGGTTTTCGAGCAAGTGAATGGTGGATTCAGATCTCTCTTCCTTCTTTCCCTTCCTTCCTTCCTTCCTTCCTTCCTTCCTTCCTTCCTTCTTTCCTTTTCTTTTCTTTTCTTTTCTTTCATTTCTTTTCTTTTCTTTTCTTTCTTTCTTTCTCTCTCCCTGTCTCTATTTCTTTCTTTCTTTTAGAAAAAGGTTCTTGCTGTGTGGAGTGAATGGTGGACCCTTAGTAAGAGAAGTTGGATAGTCTGAATTAGGAAGTAATTATATTATATTAAATCGGTGAGACAGGGGAGGAGAAGTCACTGTGAGAAACATTTCTGAGGTTAAATCAGCAAGATTGGCATTAAAAAGAGAAATGAGTTGGGAATGGCTCCAATATTAATAACTTGACTGGGTGACTAGTAATACCATTCACCAACAGGGAAACTGTAAAGAACAAGCAGGTATTGGTGAAAAGAGTTTCACTCGGAACATGTTTAGATTAATATCCTTAAGAGCCATCTGAGCAAAGTTATCCAATAGGCAGCTGGAAAGAGAGTCAGGGACCTGCTTGTCTTTAGCAGGACTAATAGAAAATAAAAGATCATATGAGAATTCAAATAGACACGTTGGGAGTCCTTTAATGTGAGTAAGAAAGGAGGCAGTCTAGGATCCTAGGATCAATGATGAGACTTTTGAAGTTACATATTTTAGTTCATACTGTGAACAAGGCACTGTGCTAGGTTGCACGGGACTTAAAAGATGATTTAGATATACTCTGTGCCCATAGCATGATTTGGGGTATATAATAGAGTAGAAGGGATGTTTCTCAAACTGTGTGTAGTTGAAGGAAGTTGGTGTGATCCTACGGGGTCACCTAGGAGCAAAGAACAAGCCCAACTCCTTTATATAATGTGCCTAGCAGAACCCAGCACATTATAGGGTTTCAGTAACAGCTGGTTCCTTGGCCAACTTCTCTTCTCATTTTTTGTTTTTTCTTCTATCTTCCCATTGAGTCATAGATAATGGGGAACAGGGAAATTCAGGGAGAAAGGAGCAGAGAAATCAAGCCAATAGGGAAGGTGGGTCATGTTCTCATGTGGCTAAGGGCAAGGAAAGAGGTTCAAGACAGGTTTGGGCTTAAGAGGAGTTGGCTTAACTTGGACTAGAAGTTTCCCAGCTTGTAGTACCATGAACACAGGAATAAAAAGCAGACAAAAGAAAGTATCCAGGGTGGGCAGAGACAACAGGGAATGGAAGGGCTACAGCCAAGTTTACTCTGAGTGGAAAGGGATTCCATGGGGAATATGAGAATGGATGAGGAGCCATGGGAAGGGACTTAAGGTGCTAAGGGGGTATAAGGACAGCATATGGACATGGGAGAAAGCAAAGTCAAGAAATTTTTAACAAAACGTGGCAGGAATAAAGAAAAGAGTGATAAATAATCAAATAGTAATCAAGTAACACAAACCAATATTTGGGGGCCCTATGGGTAAGCAAAGCCCCGGTAATGTAGTAGGTGCTGTTTTCCAAAGTGCCTTTTTGATCTGGTGCCAAGTAAGCTGCCTAAATAGCTAACAAGCAGATAGCAAAGCATTTTGCAAATGCTAAATATACGTAAAAATTCCAAGAATAACACGTAGGTTTTTCTCTTGAGGAGGGGCAGTTCTGTATTATTCTTGGGATTCTTACAAATGCTGTGTGTTGAAATGAAAACTTCATTTCCATATCTGCCACTAGAAAAGTGTCTTGGGACCATTTTTTGAAACCAACTGACATTTGTATTCCACATCCCCTGGTGGGTCCATGAGTAAGTGGGTAAGCATGGAGGGTATATTGGTTCTATTCCTAATTTGCCCTGCTCTCCTCTTACTCCTGGACACTTTGTGTTTGTTTGCCTTTAGGCCAGTGGAAGATCTTCACCGAAGGAGAAGCTCAGATCAGCCAGATGTGTTCAAGTCGTGTGTGCAGAACAGAGCTTGAAGATTTGGTCAAGGTTTTGTACCTGGAGAGATCTGAAAAGGGCCACTGTTAGGCAAGATAGACAGTATTGGATAGGGTAAAGCAAGAAAACTAAAGCTGCAGCTGGACTGCAGGCTTATTTTGCTTAAGTCGACAGTGCGCTAAACTCCAAACTCAAATGCAATCAATTATTCACGCCACACACAGCATAATTTGCTCCTTTATGTGGAATGGTGTGTCAGCCCTTGAGCATCTCCTCCAAAGAGACTAGAAGCGTCTTAAATTATGTGTGGGATGAGGAGGGATGGAACACCACAACACCACTCTAGTTTCTTGGAGAATCACATTTCTTTACAGGTTAGGAACAAACAAGACCCCAGGGTTTTTATCTAGAAAGTTATTCAAGTGAAAGAAAGAGAAGGGAATTGCTTAGTAGGAGTTCTGCAGTATAGAACAATTATTTGTGTGAAATTATACCTTTGAATTTTAGAATATCATGTGTTCCTTTAAAAAAATAGCTCCCCATCTTCTCTCCTCACACCCTCCCTCCCTTCTTCTCTCTCTCTCTCTCTCTCTCTCTCTCTCACACACACACACACACACACACACATTCACACTCACATTAAACTAAAGCCTTTATCTGAGGCAAAGATAGCCAAGACTCTACCTTACTTTTCCCTTGACTGGATCCCAAGTAGCTTGGTGCCCAGGAGAGTAAATAATTGTGAACAAAACGCTCTGCCATTAGGTCTTCGTGGCAGTTTAAGTCACCAACTACAGGGGCAGGGTGAAGAATAAGAACACTATTTTATGGCCTCATTCATTCACTTAGAAGTGGTAAAGAATTTTTTCCTAATGATACCACTTTTCTTTTCTCTTTGTACCTATGGGGCTTCCAGAAAGAAGTTAAATTGAGTAAAATGATCAGAAACTGAATCCATATAAGACAAAATTATTGTTGAAGAAAGAAGTTGATAGAAGTCCAAAATGCCATCTTTTTACTTTCACATCAATAAAATTCACCAAGTAGTAGATCAGTACTCACTAATATTTTTGAGACCATAGTTGGCCAGAAAAAACTATATTAAATTATTAAATTCTAGAAGCTCTTTAAAAGGGAAGTTTTTCTTCTCCTATTACAGGAGTTGATTTTTACTTTGCAAAGTGGTTCGGTCCTCATGAGCATCTGCATGTTGGCTCTTCAGTTAAGAAAGTTATTGTTCATTTAGGGAGCTGGATATAAAGATCTGTATTCTAAACCTTCCTACTATCCTTGCCTTATTCATCAAGCAAGTATTTTAGTGGAGAATGCTGGAGAAGGCTGCTCCTAAAATGTCTACTTGCAGCCCAATACCAGAGCATAAATTATCCCTTCTGGGGTCGGGCTTTAGAAATCATCTTTGTGGAAAGACTTAATTCTTCACAGCAAGGATCTCAGGCCTGCCTTCTAGATTTGTTTCCTCTGAGGGGCAGGAATGAACTGCAGAATTGTTTTAAGAACCTAGAAACCCCATATGTCTCATTCCATCACTATAGGTGAAAAAATTTTTTCCTAAGAGGATTTGACACCAATAGGTAAAAATATAAAATGTTCAGTCTTTATGACAACCTGGCATAAAGGAGTCAATCCTTATAAAAGAGACACAAGGGCCTTATGGCGGGAACTTCTTGGGACAAGACTCTCACCACCTCATCACACACTTTCTCCTTGGAAGAGGGGAGTAGGACATCCCAGTTGAAAGGTCACAAAGCATTAGAGAGAGAGAGAGAGAGAGAGAGAGAGAGAGAGAGAGAGAGAGAGAGAGAGAGAGAGAGAGAGTGTGTGTGTGTGTGTGTGTGTGTGTGTGTGTGTGTCTGTGGTAAAGGTGTGGTAAAGGGGGGTGGGTATTATGTAGCTGCTCCCTTTGTCCCAGAGGTGGCAGTATTTCCATAATGTGGAGACTAGTAACTGGATTCTGAAGCAAAGAGGTGTTTCCCCTTCTGGAACCCCAGAGCCTTCTCACCTAGGTGTTCTCTGTATGCTTAGCCTTAAGAGAACACCCAGAGAGCTTCCCTAGAAAGACGCTGCCTCCAGGTGCTGGGACACACCTTTGCAAGGTGCTGTGGGAAACAGGAGCTGGGGAGCTGTGTTAAGTTAAAGTAGAAACCCTCCAGTGTTAGGTGTCGTGTAGGTAGTAGGACATAGGGAAAAGAGGCCAAGCTGCCTGTAGTTAGAGAAGAATGGATGTGGTTCTTCTTGTGTATTTATTTGTATCATAAACACTTGGAACAACAGACCATAAGCATCATTTAGCAGTTGTAGCCATTTTCTAGTTATCTCATGTAAACAAGTAAGAGTAACATAACAGTATTACCCTTTCACTGTTCTCACAGGACATGTACCTAATTATGGTACTTATTTATGTAGTCACTGTATTTCTGGATTTTTAAATTAATAAAAAAGTTAATTTTGAAAAATCATCTATAGTCTTGTTGCATAAGTGATTGACTCTCCAGGTCAATACTGACCTTGGACTGGGTATCAGGTCATGGGTGGACATAGTGGTTTCACAATCACCTTGACATTCTTATACTATAGCATAGTGGTGAAGAGTATGAACTCTGCAGTCAGACTATTTAGATTTTTAAGCCCACCTGTGTACTTACCAGCTGCATTTGTCAGTCCCCCAACTATAAAATGGGATATTAGTGATATTATTGCCCTTTGCCTGCAATCTTGCAATGAGTTTTAATTTAGTCATTGCATATAAAGGGATTAGAATAGTGTCTGGAGCATAGTGAGTATTCATTTATGACCATGGATATTCACAGATGTCATGGCACTGAAATTGGGTGTTGATTTCTTACCTCCCTTTAGGTCAAGATAGTTAAGAGATTGGGTACAGAAGGCCATTGCCTTAGGTTTCAATGCAGCCTCAATTGTGGTCTGCTGCTAACATTATTTTTTTTTACAAACATTTGTATAGGGATCAGAATAACAGTTTTGTCACATATGTTAATCCAAACTGAATTACCTCAAACCGCCAGTACTAGCTAAATTTGTCCTATCACAGAAGCTTAAATATGAGAGTAGTCAAACATCTCAGGTCCTGCTGAGATGTCAAATAATATAGAGACAGAAAAGTATACATCGGTGTTAGCAACCCGGAAGAAAAGTGTTGGTATGGTGATTGAAACAGAGACCAGATTGGAGTGGATTGTAAGATGTGTGCGGGGAGATGAAGAATTGGAGACAGCAGCTAAAAACAACTCTTTGGAAAAGTTCTACTACAGAGTATGCACAGATATGGTGAAGGAAGGAGCTGGAGAAGGATACAACGCCAAAGGAAAGCCATTTTGCCTTAAACATGAGAGCTATTTGGCCATATCTGAATACTGGGTGGTGGGGGGTGGGGGGCAGCATCCTATAGAAAGGATTGAAGATAATGAGGAAAAGGAGATTAGCCTGTCATGTGAGATGCATAAGAAGCCATGCCCCACCAAGGGAGGGACAGTGGAGGAGTGGCGAAGGTGGGGAGGGATAACAGGGAGGGAAATACCAGATATAGGTGATGGGGGGATGGAGGCAGCAATCCACCTTGCCATGTATGTACCTATGCAACAATCCTGCATGATCTGCACTTGTACCCCAGAACCTAAAGTACAATAAAACATAAATATTTGCTGAAAAGAAAAAAGAAGCCATGCCTCCATGCTGTACCCCTGGAACTCACAATTCTTGACCCACAACCTAGATGGAATTTTGGCCTCTGGTTGCCAACACTCATGCCGAGCTGTGCATAGTCACCCTTTATATCCAGCACACTTTCTTCTGGAATGTTGGGCTACAGATCCCAATATTGCTCCACTGCAAACAACTCAAACCGAACCGTTTGGCCCCCTTTCTATGGTTAGCCACATCCGAATTTCACCCAGTCCTGTCAATTTGGTCTCCTATATGTAGACAATGTTTACAAGTTTTTCTTCCCTGTAGTCTCTACTCACCTGCCCCTACTGTGATTCCCAGGAAGCACCGAGAAGTCTTGCCTGCTACCACATTTACCCACCCCTTCATTCCTTTCTTGCTTTGACCCTTGAAGAAGATCAGAATATGACACCCCAAAATATGACACTTTGGCAGAGGCATTATTTTGACTCGAAGGCAATTGAGATGTAGAAAGAGTTATCTGCCTTCCCCTTATCTGCCTAAAAGCAGGGGATACATTTCCCTCTGAGAAAGGTGCTCCCCGATATGGTTTGGATTTGCATCCCCACCCAAATATCATGTCAAATTGCAATCCCCAATGTTGGAGGAGGGGCCTCGTGGGAGGTGATTGGATCTTGGGAACAGATATCCCCCTTGCTGTTCTTGTGATAGTGAGTGATTTCTCACGAGATCCGGTTGTTTAAAAATGTGTAGCACCACCCCCCTCTGCCGTGTCTTCCTCCTGCTCCAGTAATTTGAGAGGCACCTGCTTCTCTTTGTCTTCTACTATGATTGTAAGTTTCCTGAGACCTCCCCAGAAGCCATCATGCTTTCTGTACAGCCTGTGGAACCATAAGCCAATTAAACCTCTTTTTTAAATAAATTACCTAGTTTTGTGTATATCTTTATAGCAGTGCAAGAACAGACTAATATACCCCCATTCATACCGGGGAGAGAAGAGCGATTCTAATAATTGAAGATTGGAAGTCAGCAACAAGATGAGTTTGCAGAAACAGACTGCTATGGTTTGGATATGGTTTGTTAGGCCTCACCAAGTCTCATGTTGAAATTTGATCCCCAGCGTGAGGTGGGACCTAAAGGGAGGTGTTTGGGTGATGGGGACAGATCTTTCATAAATGGCTTGGTGCTGTTCTTGTGGTAATGAGTGAGTTCTCCCTCTTAGTTCCTTCGAGAACTGGTAGTTAAAAAGTCTGGCCTCTTCTCCTCGGTCTTTTGATTCCTGTCTCACTATGTAATCTGCACATACCAGCTTCCCTTCTTCCACCTTGAGTGGAAGCTACTGGAAGCCCTCATCAGAAACAGTTGCTGGTGCCATGATTTTTGTACAGCCGACATAACCATGAGCCAAATCAACCTCTTTTTTAATAAATTACCCAGCCTTAGGTATTCTTTTATAGCAACACAGACCAAGACACAGATCTTACTAAAATAACCCTTACTGTCCACTAGCTCCCCCAAATATTTTCAGTCACTTTCCCACAATTTATCCTCCCTTGAATCCCAAAACTTTCCTTTGTTAAAAGGGTGTGAAGGCCCCAAGTGTAACCACTTGAGTTTCACTTCCTTTTTATGAATTTCCGTGCATGTTGATATTAATAAAAATTGTGTGCCTTCCCTTCTGTTAATCTGTCTTTTGTTAGTTTAATCCACAGGGTCCTAGTTACTGAACCTAAGAGAATAGAGGAAAACTTTTTCCTCCCCAACACCCATTTCCATGATAGGCACTGCTAGAAAAAGAATGCCCATTGACTGTCTGTATCATCACACATATCACCACTGGTGCCAGCTGTGCTAATCCTGGTGGGGGCTCTTTCTGCTGGTCTAGAGGAGCTACCACAGTTGTTGTGCTCTGGAATCCTCAGCATTCCCAAGTGGCACCAGATCTTGTGCATAGTGGAGAGAGTACCCTCTTTCCTCCCAACCTGTGATGTTACACTTTATCACCGTATGTGAAACCAATTAACAAATAGTTCTTGAGTGTGTATTATGTGTACCAAAGCAGGGTCTTCCTGTATCTCAGAGTCTCATAGTTTTTTATGGAAGCAAGTCATTCAAGTTCCCCTTTTATCCCTTTTATCAGGGCTCGCTTGCCAGTCTGTGCTGAGTACAAGTCTCCAAGACAGACATACTACTGTTTTCCAAATTCCTCTCCTTTCGGGGGCACATACATGTACTGCTTCCATTCCCCTCTGAAACCCTCACACAATCTAACTTCAAAGGGCCCACCCCACCAGCCTAGAAAACATGCCCAGACACCACTGAAACCTCCATGTGGGAGAGGTACCTTCTTGAATGCAGAGCTCCACCTGTTTGGGGGAACACTGTCCCCCAAATATTTCATATGCATGCACAACTTTGGGCTTTGTATATGCTCTTTCCACCACTACAGCATTCTTCCTTCTTCTGTGATTGGCAAACTTCTACCCATCCTCCAAACATCACTGCATCTGTGGAACCCTGCCTGCTCATCTCCTGGTTTGCCACCATTTTCCCTTTCTTCCTATATACTGTACCTTCCAACCATGGCAGGCAACTCCAGGATCCTGGAACTTACCACATTCTCAGGACTTCTGAACCTTCATACACAGTTCCCTTTGCCTGCAGTGTTTATTACTTGATGTCTCTACTTACCAAGCACCTACTCATTGTTAAAAACTCACATTGCATATCTCTGAAAACTTCTCCACCTCCTTCAAGGAGATTAGTTAGTTCTTTCCTCTTCTGTGCTTTCAGGAAATAATCACCAAAGTATTCTTCCTGTGCCAACCACTGTAGTAATCAATTGACATTCATACTTTTTCATTTAATCTTCACCATAGCCCTATCTGGGAAGCATCATTATTGATCCTATTTTAGACTTGAGAACATTGAAGGCATTCACCTTTTATATGCCATTATATGTAAAAACATGAAATATTTGCTCAGTCATGGTCCCCCTGATTAGACTGGAAGGCTTTTAGAAGTAAGGGACCCAATGTCCAGCACGTCCAGACACTCAGTAAATATTTGGCAAGTGAAGAGTCCATCTGGTGAGATTCTTTCTCCAGTTGGGAGAGCAAGCAGTTTGGGGAATACATAAATATGCAGAGGCTAGGCAGATTTTCAGGACATTTTCTCTGTACCTTACTCTAAAGAGAACTAACAAAACCTGGGTTAACAAGTACAAATGGAAAAATTTCTTGTTTGCTTTGCAAACTGATTTACCATAAGATGTCTTTCAAAAGAAATGATAAATATTGGATTTACACATCGATTTTTCTAAATGCTTAAAGCAAGATGTCCTTGCATTTGTGGCACAGGTTTCACAATAATACTAAGCTGTGAAGGATTTTTGCTAAGACTTCAATATCGTGGATAAGTAATATCTATGTTTCTACACGTGTTATCTATAATATAGTATAATATTTATAATAGATGTATATTACAGGCCAGGCATAGTAGCTTATACCTGTGGGAGCAACATAGTGGGACATCCATCACTACAAAAAATTTTAAAAATAGCTGAGCATGGTGCACATGTCTATAGTCCCAGCTACTCAGGAGGCTGAAGCAGAAGGATCACCTAAGCCCGGGAGTTCAAGGCTGCAGTGATCTATGATCATGCTGATCATCCCACTGCACTCCAGGCTGGGTGACAGAGCAAGACCCTGTTTCATATATATATATATATTTATATGTGTGTATATATAAAACAATACTTATATATCTTTAGATCTTTCTCTGTGTGTATATGGATAGTTAAGCTCTAACATGG